GACTGCCTAGTGATGGAGCACCCTCCTTTTGGAGGATTCTCAAGGTACATGGCTGGCAAGCTACCCTATCCCCCACCCTGAAGCCCCAGGAGAGAAGGCCTTCTATTTAGCCACAGCATGGGAATGTGACCTCAGCTCCCTGAAAGCTGTGGGATCCTTCATAAGGCTGTGGAAGTCTCACTGTGGTGGGATGAGAGACCTCAGGGTATGGCAGCACTGTGAGATTGGTGCCCAGAGTGCTCCTCTGCCAGGCCACCATGCTTCCTTCCTGAGCTGTCTCTCCAACATCTTGATTCTGCACAAAGGCCACATTCTTCTATCATGAGTATGTTGGCTCATCTCACAACTTCCATGTCAATCCCTTTCTTCCTTGTCTTCCTCTATGCTATGGCCCAGAAGGTAAAGTACTTGAATTTCAAACTCAACAGTGGTATGAACTGGTCATGTGATATGGTCTTGATTACTGATATAAACGAGTATATTCCTTTCTCCAATAGGAGTTAAAATTTTTATCACATGTGAAGTATAGTACTAAACGATGAAGATATTTTTCAAACCATCTCAGCTGATGTCCTTGAGTAATCTGGTGGAGGAAGATGCCTCCTTGCCACAGGGAGGGTGGTTAGGTTAAATCTCTTGTCTTCCTGCCAGGGAAGGATGGGCCGAGTGGAAAGGGACTAGGGTGCCCTGTGGGGACTGCAAGGATGAAGGCTCAGAAGCAGGAACACACTGCGAAGGGACAGGGAATAATGGGAGATCCATCTTAGGGGCCCTGACCATAAGGAGAAGCTGGGTTTATTAGGAAGATACAGTACAGGGGCATCTAAACAGGAAGTCACAATGGTCAAAGATGGCATTTAGTTCTTCTCCCCATTTAACTGAAGAGGAAAAGAGGGCACAGAGGGTTAGATGACTTACTAATTTATAGTTAGCCCATGCTCTGCCCATCCACTAGGCTGCTTTCTGGAAGAGCAGCACAGTGAGAGGGCAGGAGAGAGACAGATACATTGGGAAGGAGATGCCAAGGGAACATTTCAGAGAGTGCAAGAGTGAAGGGGTCAGATGCTGCTGAGCCATCAGGAAGGAAATCTGAGAGACAGCCACTGGGTTTGTGATGAGGCAGTCACTGTGACCTTTGTGAGCTCTCTTTCAGTAGAGGGGTGGGGAATAGCATTCCTTGCAGAGCACAAAGCGAGGATGATATCAGATAGAGCCCTTGGGAGCATCGGCAACGAAAACCCTGGGAGAGATGGAGAAAAATTTTCAAGCTTTTCTTTTGTGGTCCTCCCAAAATAATGGGATATTTTCTTTATTTGAGGATTGTAATATGTTTCTCCCCCCTTCCTTTGTTTTGACAGACAAAAATAATGAATTTTAGCAACCCTGTTAGGGAGACTTAGCAAGAATCACAGTTGGTTTTTTTTTTTTTTTTTTTTTAAATGCTGTGTTAGGTTCAGGTAAAATGAAAAGGCTTTACTATTTGCAGGGAAACTGTTAGGGAGAAATGTTGTGAGATCTTACACAGTGAGCTGGCTGGACACAATGGCAGTTCTGTCACTACATGAAGGTAGTGAGGGGACCTTGGATGAGACAACTTCCTTGGGCTTGTGTTGAGCCAAAGGAAAGCTGCTAAAAGTATCGCATGCATTACAGTGTGACATGGAATCCAGCTAGCGTTCCTAAACACCTGGGCTGAAAACACAAAAATTCTTTGTTTAATGAGCAGTGGGAATTGGAATTAGGGGCCTCTGTCCTAGCTCTTGGGTGATCCCTATTGCACATCGAAAACACTTTTAGGGAGGTTGTGTTTTATGACAGCAAAACTCCACTAAGAGCAGTAATTTAATTACAGTCACCAGAAGGGGAAGAAGAGAGAGGGAAAGGAAAAGGAAGAAAGGGGGAGGAAGGAGAAGAGGGGAGCAGTGCTGTTAAGACTTCCTATGACTGTTGATTCCCTTTGGCATTCCAGTGTAGCCCTGTCTGAAGTTCTAAGACTGAATTAGTCCCCAAGTCCCTAAGATTTTGCTGCAGCCCAGTGACACTATTGCAAGCTACAGATGTATGAAAGATGTGGGGACAGGGTCTGGTACAGTTTGGGCCAAGGGAACCTCAGGTTGTGGGGCTCTTGGTGACTGCTTACAATCTGAATTGGCCCTCACACAGGTTTTGAAATTTTAAGAAACCCAGCAAGTCACCTCTGGCAGTGTGCAATTAACCCACCTGGCTGAAAAAGCACAGAAGAGACCACAGTTTCCTTTTCTTCCTTCCTACCCAGGCCACTGGAAAAGCCGGCAGCAATCTGGAGTCTCCCACCGTGGTTTTTCAAACACACCATGCATCCTGAATAGGGGCTGCTCTTCACTCCAGCCTCTTCCCTGCGCATTCTAGGTGACTTTCTTTCCATCTTTCTACCTGGGAGGTGGCTCCTGTTATGATGCTGGCCACAAAGTAAGATAATCTTCCTGGTTCTTCTCCACTTTCCTTAATGTTCCCCCCAAACAACACAAAAAGCCTTTAACCACCTGCTGCAGGTAACAGTAATTAGGGCTAACAAAGCAGGAGGCACGGGATTCAGAGGCTGGCAGGACTCAGGATGACACAGTGACTAACAGTTCACACCCTGTGGTGGTGACAAGCAAAGTCCCTGTCTTTGAGACATTCATTCCATGAGGGACAGAGGCAAGAACCTAGGAACGCCTGATAGCAGCATAACGGACACAGCAAGGCAGGGAAGGAGGGCAAGAACAGATGGGTGGGTGGCAGGGGCTCTGAAAGGTGTGGTTAGATCTCAAAACAAATCTAATGGAGGAACTGGAACAAACCAGGAACACTTGCATAGTAAGAGCACCCCGGGGAGGGGAAGAATCCATTAGTGCTAAGGTCCTGAGGCAGGGGACGGCAACGATGGTAAGGATTCCCTGGATGAGGAAGCAGAATAGGATGGGAGGCCAGGCAACTTGAGGAAGAGCCTATGTGTTCCTGCAATCAGGGCAGCAAAGGGAACAGAGCTGGAATCTGAGTTACAGTGACCTGGACTCTCAGCTCTGCTCTGGAATTGGGTTCTCCCTCCTTTATAAACAACTGGTAACAAAGGCTCACAGCAAAGAGTGTGGAATGTGACACTGTCTCCCACAGAATACAGCACACATCAGGTCTTACCCACCACTATCACTCTCCCTGTTTGCCTGGTTACAGGGCTCCTCTTACCTAGTTCCCATTGTGGTGGAATAAAAAGTGTCTAAAGCAGGATATTCCTGGTCCTCCAAAAGGTCCCATATGCATTACACCAAATGCAAGAACATCTCAGTACAGTACAGTGCCATTGGTAACAGTTATGTTTTGGTCTCTGCATTCAAAAATCTGGAGGAATTCATACTGTACTGCTCATGGTGATCATCACTGAGGGCTAAGGTTACCAAAGATTTGGACCACTGAGTTTCAACTTTTTTAAATTTTGAAATGTTTAAAGGTTCTACAAGGAGTATACACTTCATTAGTAAGCTTCATACACACAGCCTTGTGTGGATGCAGGGGAACTGACCTGTTAGTTCTGTCTGATGTCAATACTGTGTAGCCTCCATCCCATACCTCACTGAAGGCATCAAGTGCAATTAACTGTGAGTATTTTATAGCTTCTCTGTGGGGAGAGGTTGGGCAGAAAGAGGCCCAAAGGCAGAGGAAAGGACCTCACATGACACCTGGACCAAAAGAGAAGGTCCTGGGAGGAATGATGTCTGAGATTGCTCTCAGTCATCACCTGTACACTCCAGTGGATTCTGTTTAAAACGGGACAGAAAGTGAACCACTCTATAAATAAAATGAAAATCTGCCATGGCTGCCACCAAGGAGCAAAATAGAAACTGATGAAAATCAAGTATTTTAAAATAAGCTGACTGTGAACTCCTTATGTGATTTGAGACTGTCAACACTGAACAAACAATTATATTTTTGGAGACAAGGTCTTGCTATGTAGTTCAGTCTAGCCTTGAACTTAGTATGTAGCCCAGGCTGGCCTCGAATTCACGGCAATCCTCCAGCCTCAACCTCCCAAGAATTGGGATTAGAGGTGTGCATCACCGTGCTCAGCCTGAAAATCTCATTTTAGAGATTATTAAAGAATATGATCATAAAAATTACATTTCCCAGTTAAGTAGGTTGAAAGGTCAGCCAAGGGAACACAAATATCTCTATTCCCAGTGTCTCACTCAATGGATCAAAACGTGCACTGTAACTCATAAGTTCTAGAGCTTAAAAAACTGAGTTCTCTCCTCTCCTCCAAAAATATACTCTGGTTGAGGGGAATAAAAAATAACACTTAAGCACCCATAATGGCCCACATGGATTTTCCCAGTTTAAAAATATGTTTCAAGGAGAAAAACGTAGTATAGAAATATTTTTACCTTCCCTAAGTTGGCCTTTGTACCAAAAGGGGTGCCTGGCTCTACATCAAGGAAACCCTGCTGGAATAGAAGGCAGTAGATTACTCAGTCTCTCGCCTGTGATTTTATGATGTTTCCGACTGGAGGGAAAAGTGATGATTCTGAACACAGGAAAACTCACCTATTTCCTAGGAATCAAGAAACACTGATCTTTGCTTTCTGCTCTTTCCCAGTACAACACCATCAGGATTACACTTGAGTTTATCTGATCACAGGCTGGAAATCCCCAGGACAGAAAAATTCCACCTCAGCACTTCCATAAGCCCTGAGGAATGCACTCTTTCAAAACTGAATGTTTTCCATGAGGCAAGAACGCTGTACACAATGTTTCACTGTCAACAGAATGCAGTCCTGTATAACAGAAAAGGTAACATCCCAGCTGCTCCAAAAGCAGTCACAATGCCCATGCAAGAACCCAGAGCTTGTAGAATGCACAAGAGATAATCTTCCATTTCCAACTTAATAGCATTCATCAATTGATAATTAAAAGCTACACAATAAGATACACTTCTCAAACAATTTTATATGCTGTATTCACCTATGATACACCTTCTTTTTCTAAAAAATACGGAATGCTTCACAAATTTGCAGGTCATCCTTGTGCAGTGGTCATGCTAAACTCTGTATCATTCCAATTTTAGTATATATGGTGCTGAAGTGAGCAAACCTATGGTATAGGTTCCTCAACAGCAGGAAAATGTAACAAAACCCAATGCTTGCCTTATAATAATGTACTTGCCCTCCCCCAAAAAGGATTAAATACACATCCATAGTTGAATGCACACATTCCAATAAATTTGGATGAACAACTGATACAACTGTAAAAAGATGTGAGATTGTGTGTCTGGATTCTTTCACCCCATACAGGAAATTGTAACAGTGTTATGAAGACTAGCAATGGGACCAGGAAAGTTCAACAGAAGGATGTATTAGATCCCATTTTTTAAAAATACACTTAGTGCCATCTCAGAAAAATTCCCCATGCGCCCATTCTGAAACAACAGATGTTCTTAAAGGAAAACCACAAGAAAGCTGGTGTAGAATCTATAAAAAGGAAAACCAGACTCAATCTGGTGTGCTCATGTACTAGCTTGCACACTGGGGTTAACTTGCTCTCCCTCCTCCTTTCCCCATCCCAGTAATCAGATGCAGCTGAGGCTGCATCCTTGCCTTGTTCCTGATGGTGTGACCTTGGGCAAGTCAGCTGACCTTTCTCTTTTAGTGTACTTGTCTTCAACATAGTGGTACCAGGTTGGGTGAAGACTCAGGCAGATCACACACAAACAGCTTTAACTCAGCATCTTGCATACACAAGTGCCCTCATCCTTAGCTGTCCCACTACGATCCAGCCCTCATACTCCAACATCTAGTAATACCCATCTGATTCCATGCGTCTAGCTTTTACTGTTCTTTTCATCACATTATTTGGGACTAAGAAACAAGCAAGCAGTTAAATATACCACATTTTTCTGTTGCTCAAAGTAGGGTGAAAACACATACTTAAGAAATTCAGTCCTTAAGATGCGATGTTAACAGGTATGCATATGGAATACAAACATCATATTTCAGCCTATTGCATCTGAAGCATCAAATCATGAATTTTATTTTAAAAGTAACAAAAGCCAAGCAGCATTAAAAAGGATAGAATGTCCCCACATGGGCCTACAGCTGTCTCAATATTAGGGACTGGCAACTGGAATGGAGTATGGGTTTTTCCTGGGGTCAGACTTCCAACAGGTGGCTAGTTTTAGTCATCTTCAAATGCAAAATCTTAATGAGTTTAAGTATGCAAGTCTGGGTGATTTTGTTCAAGGCCTCTCTTGGGAATCCAGGGAGGAAATTCTGTGGGTCTCAGCCTCCATGGCAAGTTAGCAAGCAGGGACCTGTCTGTAGCTTGCACCTGTCCGCTGAACAGGGTTCTGGCCTGACGCGGTTAAAACCCACTGTCCTTCCCAACCAGCCCAGCTTGCCCTGCCGCTGTGCACTCCCGACAGCCAGGGAACCCACCAGTGTAATAAACGCGACTGAAAGTGGTCACGACCCACCAAACCACAGATCCTCGGAGTGCGGGATTTCCATCTCTCCACCGCGTCAGAAAACCAAAAACAGAACACGGGCGCCTGCTTGCCCTACTGCAACGGGATTCCCCAGCATCACCCCCCCCCCCCGCCGCCAGCTTGCATGATTTATTAATAAATGCAAGATGGCACACGGAGGAAAAGCACGGGAGGCATTTGCAGCTGGGCCCGACCCAGGGCAGTTTGCAAAAATAAATAAGAAGCATGTGACCAGCAGCGGGTCCCGGGGCTGTACTGAAGCCCCGGCTGCTCCGCGCACGCACCCTGCAGGCTCTGGACAGGGGGTGAAGGTCAGGGCCAGACCCCGTCCCGGGTGCGCACCCCACACCCTGCACCCGGCAGAGACACTTACCTGCTGCGGCTGGCGTCAGGGCGCCCAGTCCGGCCCGCTCCGCTCTGCCCCTCTTTGCCTCCGCCCCCCGCCTGCCTGCAGCCCGCGGCCCGCGCCTCCGTGCCCCCCCCCCACCGCGCGCGCCCGCGCCTGCGCCCTCACCGCCGCGCGCCCGCGCTGTCTAGGAAACGGCGGCGCGCGGGGGGCGCAGGGGGCGGGGCAGGCGCGCGCACCGGCAGACGCAGCGCGGGCTCTCGGGTGAGGGGGTGAGGGGATGAGGGCGACTGTGAGGGGAAACTTGTGGGAGCGTGTGTGTGTGTGTGTGTGTGTGTGTGTGTGTGTGTGTGTGTGTGGAGGCGGCCTCAGTAGAGGGGAGGTGGCGGGGGCCACCCAGGCTTCGGACTCCTGTCACGGTGGCCCCCCCTCCCGGTCTCTTGTCAGAACTCGAAACCCGGCGCGGTCTGGAGGAAACACTTGCCCTCGCCTCCCGGAGGTGTCCCGCGGGAACGCTGCAGGACAGACTTCCCCACCTCACCAGACCCCCGACATTCTCCCCGGGGACTCGTGACACACTCCTGACGCGTGACCGCGCGTCACGGAGTGGACCCGCCTCTGAGGGCTATTCCGGGGCCGGGTCCCGGGTGGGCATGAGGTGAGGGGTCGCTCTGGGACGCCCCTCGCGGTCTCCTGGGCTGAGATCCTCCCACGTGAACGCTCAGCTCTTCTGTCCGTCTCAGGTGCTGCTTCGAACAGTCATTAAAGCAGCTTCTGGATTCCTAGTAGCCTTTGCGATCTGTGCTGAAAATAGAGCCTATTCGTGCTAAAATAGAGCCATTTTCCTAAGGGGTCCTTGGCAAACGAGGGGCCCGGCGGGGTACAGTTTTTTCCTCAAGACCTTGCCCTACCTCAGCATTTCTTAACCAACTCTAATCTCTAGTGGAATTTCAGAGGTAGAAAGCTCTTGAAGGAGGTATTTGTAGAAGTTGCCTGATTTGACAAGATATTTCTTGTAGAAGGATAAATTATGCTGTGGAAAAGGGAAAGAGGGGATGGGTTAAGAAAATTTAATGTAGGATGCATAAGATGGGAAGCATAGTTTTCTGACAGGGTGGAAACATTTTTGACAACACTTGATTACCTTGGCATAGCTGACCCAAGTTATTATCTCATCCATTTCCCCGAAATTGGTAGAATTGGTAGAGCTTAAGATTTGCTTAAAATCATTGAAAAGCATTTGGTTATATATAATGCTAATTAAATATGAGTATAAATATTTTGAAACTTGCAGAGACAAATTGAAAGACCACTTTGGTTTAACTGGGCTGGTATCTTTGTACTTGAATACTTTTAAAAAATAATTGAGGTATATCCTACTTCAAAGGAACTTTTTTTCTACAATGGCTATTCTATAAAGAGAAATTTATATGAAAATTACAGTACATGCTGATATTTTTACTCATGTCTTCTACTTTCCTGTCACTCTCTGTTCATGGCAATTGTGGGTACCACCATTTTATGTTGTAGTGGGAAGTTAAAAAAAAATTCCCAAACACATAATTTGTTAGCTGGGTTTCCCCCTAGTGTTCTACTTTTTACAAAACATACCCAAACTAAAATCCTCTCTTTGATAGAGTATTCTTTAGGGTGTTGAAAACATAAATCAGAGAGGTTGAAAAGTGCCAGTCAGTTTCTCCAGGTTTGGTCCACGCTTCTTTTCAAATGCTCTAAATCTTAACACCCAGAGAATCAATTTAGAGGAGGAACGCCAATTTAGAGATTTATAGGATTCCCTTTTGCTAGGAACATTATCCTTAAAGTTGGCTTGGTCTTTAGAATCAATGGGGAGTATGTTTTTAAAATGACGTTGAGGAGCTTCATCTGAAACGGATTGAAGTTTAATTTCTAGGGGATCCTCATATAAATTTTATTTTTATCTGCCCCAAATCATTTTTACTGGTGGGAGAAATTAGGGAATCTGAGAACTACAAATAGCATAGGCACTGCTTCACTGGGCTGCACTGACTAATGAGAGGGAATTTGTGAGTGAAAGAGCTATGCAGCAACTTAAGAGCTATAAAGCACAGAAGACACTAAACTTGGAAGAAACTAAGCTTTGTGAGTCCCTTTCTTGCCAGATATACCTGTTTCTACGGTGGCAGTAAATACCATGATATCCTAAACCCACATGCCTTTTGAGGTAAGTCAGATTTTCTTTTAATTAAAGACTGTCTTTCAAGAGTGCCAGGATCACATAAACAGAAAATTTGTACATATACACAGCTGCAAAGTTATGGGAAGGCAGACTAGATATTATGTTAAACCTAGCAATGCCTAAAAAAGAATAATATCAACATTAAAATTACTGTTCTCAGGTAGCTGCTTTAAATACAATAGAATGTAAGAGTTGAATGTAATTTGGAAAATCTGAATAATTCCCAGTGTCCTTAAATTATTAATGTTTGTACAAGTGCCAATACTTTAAAAGCTGTTCTACATGTTGATTTACAGTATAACTTCAGTTATTCATAATATGCAGGAAGAAGGCCTGACTTAGTTTAGCACTTGAAAAGTGGAATGTATATAACAATGTGTGATATTTATTTTGAAATTCAAATACAATAACTGCTAACAAAAGAGGTTTTATATTTCTTAAAGCTTAGTGAGATAACTTTAAAGAATACATATGATTGATAGTTGACTTGTAATTCTCAATATTCATGTGCATACAGTCTGTGGATATAATAGAACCAAAATACCATGCATTCAGTAGGCCTTCAGTAAATGCCACTTATCTGTGATGTTAGTGATACAGTACTCTTCTCTGAAAAATTACTTATGAGTCTAAAGAATTTCTGTAGTTCCTGTTAAGTTTTATTAACACATGTAAGCTTCAAATTACACATTGGGCCAGGGATTTAGTTCAGCAGTAGAAGCACCTGCCTGGCAATCATGAGGTTATGAGTTTGATCTCCGGTTCCAAAAAACCCCCCACAAATTAGCACATTGTGTACACACAGATGTACTGTACTGGGTTCAGTAACCTGAAGTCCCTGCCCCTGAAAAATTAGCACATTTTAATTACATGTTTATGATTTAATAAATAATATTCTACATGGAAAGTAATTTAGAGAACTCCTTCCAATACAAGTGGCCTTCAGGAAACATGAACTACTCATTTCCAAGTAAATTCATAAGTTCATAAATAAAATCATAAATATTAATCAAATTCATAAATTCAGGCACAGTACATGTTCTACAAGTCTTTTGGTCCATATCCTTAACTTACAGCAGATTCTACTAAACAGTGATAGCATGTCAGTTGCAAGGATAAAGAATTAGAACTTGGTGACTTCAGTGTTTGTGGCCCCTTGAACTTTTTTTTGTGTGTATGAGCAATTATCTCACAAACTAAAAGTGAACCAGATGATCAAATCTGTTGGTAGATAAACTTCTGAGGCTTTGTAGTTGCAAAAATACAATATTCTAAACTGACTGTTCATTATTTGTATGACAATGGAAAGATCATAAACTTCTGGGGAACTGATTGCTAAATTCCAACAATTGGCTTGATATAATTTATGATGATCATTTATGTTACTTCTGCATAATTAAGGTGTTCTGAGCCATGTCTTGATCTTCTGTCTCAGTATCATATAAAACAAATGCACTGTAGAAAAAAATGAACTTTTTAAGTGAAAGATAGATTATTGTATACCTTATTATCTGCTTCTTTCCCATAAAGTCCTTAAGTGAAATAGCAATCCCTGTTAATCTTTTATCTGTGGTAATGCCTGTAAGTTTTTTCTCAGGGGAAAAAAAAGTAGTAAAACAAATAAATTTCATGTATCAGAATACCATGTACATGGATGTTTTGAAAGGGCTTTTACCAGTCCAATAATCTTCCAAATATAGATATTATTCATTTAATGACCTACCTGTTTAACAGTTGTGCATACGTATGATGCATCTTGTTTTCGTTCAGTTCTGTATATCTTGTTGATAGAACCTCAGTGTCATTTGTACAGTATACTTTGTTTATACAGTACTGTAATTTTTGCTGATTGTGCTGTATAGTACTATAGTTTTATATTTTGTCATATTACAGTACTGCAGGTAACAGTTATGCAAAGAAATGCAAAGTCACCAAGTTGGAGTTCTTTGACTGTATCTTTGTTCTGAACATTGTAATGTATATGTATATACACATATATTATATTATATACAGTTCCTCATTTAGTGACCAACTCATTTAACAACCTAGTTGCACAAATGGAGCTCTGTCCTTAAATGAGGAATTCTGTAAAATTCAGTTTTCCTATGAAGCCAACTTCTAGCCTTGTTTTTGGAAATACTAACAGAAAATAGTTTTCCTGGAACTATTAAAAATGAAAAAGGTTAAGGAAGAAGGATAAATTAAATATCAACAAAGTGAACCTTCTGCTTTCTTCCTATGAAGTCTTTTGAATTATTTTTAAGTAGAAGAAAATGTTTGTATTATATTTGTATACATTTCACTGTCCTCTTTGTGTATTACTAAAATTGTTAAATTGTTTTTATAATTCCTTCATGGTGGCTACAATTCTTACTAAATCAGAAGAGGTAGAAGACATGAATCCTAAAGAGCTGATTTTTCACTACATGCAATCTATAAGAATTTTCATACAAGGATAAAACAGGTAAGTAATCATTCTTTTTAATGCTTTGGGGACTTTAGGGCCATATTCTGTTAATCCTAATTCTATATCATTGGTTTGATTTAACTAAGACACAATAAGGATTGTCTGAAATATAGAAAACCCAGTAATTTTCTAATCTCATTTCTAATAGTTGAGAAGCTTGTATATAGAACTATATTCAATTATACGTTAACTATAAAAGTTACTAGAAACAACAAAGTGCTGTAAACTGGTTAAATTTAAGTCTGGTGTTTGTGGTTTAAAAATAATATGAATCAATTTAAATAAGCATAGAATTTTAAAAAGTTTTAGAGAATAGCAGTCTGGAGAAAAAACCCAAGCTGTTGTGCTTAGAAAACTGAGGTCTCAGAGTGACCACACTTTATACTACAAGTAGGTTAAGTGCTGTCATACTGGGGATAGTGCTGCCCTTTTCCAAGATGTACAGAGAGAAGGCAGTCAGAGGCTAGAAGTTGATAACTTTGAAATTAAAAGCTTTAGAATCAGACTTTCTTACTATCTCATTCTAGATCTTCCAAGTAGTAATCATTTATCCATCAAGAATAGCTTGTATACTCACTAAACCTTCTAACTTCATGATATCATGGACCTTGTGATAGCATGGTTAATTTAGGAAAGTAAATGGTAATTTATGTCTAGGGCAATGGGCTTGTTTGTCACCTAATGTGGAGTTTGTGAATGGAAACAAAATTTGGCCAAATGCTTTTGTTTGCAAACCAAATTGCTTACAGACAGAAGGATTGATTAACCAATATATTACAGTAAGTTAAGATAAAAAGAGTTTATCCTCAAATAGACTTTTCTAGTAGATATGGTTGAGGTTTGGGACAGAGGGAGGAAGATGATTGAGAAAGAAGTCGAGGAATTAAGTGTGGAGTGAATGAAGGTCAAATGCAAAAGAGGCTTGTGCTTGTGAGTAAGCAAACAAAACACATGAAAGAAACATTTGTGTAAGAGAGAAAATAGATGCAGGTTAGAGGATGTTCAGGACCCTTAAGATGGAATTTCTTAGAAAAGTCACCAGGCTGACTGGCCCCCTTATTTCAAGAGAAGTTTCCCCAAGACATATTCAGAGACATATTTTATTTGGGTATTGATTGTAGACTGAATTTGTAGACTCCAGTGACATAAGAGGACCAGGGTATGAGAAGGTTATGAGGTGGGAAGCACTGTGATGATTTCCTCCTTCATATCTTTACAGAGCTGTAGCATTTCATAGAAAACATACATGGTGAGTACTGTTCAGGACAGGAACGAGTGGAAAATTTGTTGTTCATGTAGCAGTAATTTGAAAGATTTTATAAATCATTCACTAGCCAACATTGACAGTGCATTTCTTCATGAATTACTAATCTGAGGGAGTTTGTATTCACAGTTTTCACCTAAGTAAATCTCTATTATCAAATCATTTTTATACTGCATCAAATTCAGTCATGAGCAGCTTGAATTTTCCAGTTAGGAGTAATGATCATCATCACTTGCTGAGTCCTCATATTCCAGATGTTTTGCATGTATAAGTTCATTTTATTCTCCTCTATCCCTTTGAAGTGAGCACAGGTTGAGTATCCTTTATCTGGAATGCTTGGGAGCGGAACTGTTTGAGTTTGGAGTTTCAGATTTTGGAATACTTGCATAGACTTTACTGTTGAACATCCTTAAACTGAAAATTCAAAGTCTGAAATGCTCCAGGATTCAATATTCAGATTTGAGTCCTTCCAAGATACCCAAAAAGCTTTTGGAGCATTTTAGACTTGCAGGTTGAGGATGCCCACCATGTAGCATTATTCTGTCCCATCTCTCTCTGATCTCCTGTAGATGAGGAAGTGATGACTTTTACCCATTCACACACTTGTTTTAGGGTGGAACATTCTACTGTGGATCTAGTGTTTGCACACTAGCTTTCTGGCTCCAGAACTCATGTTCTACACAGGATACCTTAATATATAAATATAGATAGATAGATAGATAGATAGATAGATAGATAAACACATAAACACACACATACACAGTATGAATTGAGAGTTACTCAGAAACTTGGTTAATTACAAGACTATTCATAAGTGGCACAATTTACACAATAAAAACTGGTTTTGAGAGTTGCTACATAGAATTAAAATTATTTTATTGCTTCTCTAAGCACTTTAAATATAGTTATTCATGCTAGTATAGTCTGTTATCAGTGATATGAAAGGCTGTTGCCTGAGACTGATCAACTGCTGTTATTTAAAAGACCACATCTAGTGGTATAACCCTAGTAAAAGTTTGCAGAGCTGATTTTCAGTCTTGTGGTCTTAGAATCTGAGCTTGTCAGAAGTATATTAAAGAAGATTAAATTGGTCCTGCAACCTGATACACCTAGCATGTAATACCAGAGTGCAAATTTATTTATACAAAGACAAAACTATTTTATAAGCCAGGATGATGAATGTATTTATATACCAGGATGATGAATGTATTTTCTTTGAGTTGGTGAATCTAGATGAAGAACTAAGTTATAGTCAAGGTGTTTCTTTATAAATAACAGGTACTCTGAATATGTTTTGCTTTCCATAATATTTATCTATTTGAGAAATTCCTCAAGCATTTCATCAATAGTAGTCACTTTTGGCATGCATGCATTCTTTATAAATAGCCTCCACCCTGGGGCCCCACCACCAGGGACTCTGTTACCATAGAAACAGTTGTTAATAAACATGAATATTTTAGAAAATATGTGGGTTCAGAATTGAAGAAAGGGAAGCATCTGAGAAGAGCAGAAATGCTGAAGAACTTTGATTTCAAAGGATAGATCCTAAATAGAATTCATTTGCTTGAGTGGGGAATCTCTTTACCTAAAATGTATTTCTGTAACTACCTGCAGGGGTCCCCCACCCATTTCTGGTGTAATGTCTGGCATTTCACTACTACTCTAAATATCTATGTATGCCAGAAATTCTTAGCAGCTTCCCTAATACTCATACTCCACTGATTATTTTCATTTTCTTAGGGCACCAGAATATCCATTGTCATGGTTTATGTTTGTGTCCCCCAGGCCTCATGAGTTTGCATTGTTCATTTGTGATGGTTCATTGTATAGTGCTTGGATTGATGGTGTCAGTGCTACACCCACATAGGGGTGGAGCCAGGATGTGATGTAATGTCAGGAAGAAGGTGTGCCTTTCTCTTTGCTGGTTCGAGTTTGCTGTTGCCAGCTGCCATGAACTGCAGCCCAGCCATGCCTGCCTGTCTTGGAGCCAACTGATTGTGGACTGAAACCTCCAAAAACTGTAAGAAATAAACCTTTCTTTTCCCAACTTTGGGCTTCAGGTATTTTGTCTCAGCGATGAGCATAAAGTAACTAAGACATCCAGCAAAAATTTTTAATTGAGCCAGTCATGGCAATGCCATTTCCCTTACCAGTAATTATGAAAGAACATCTGCTGAGTTCAGGGAAGTCTTGCTTTTCTGACAAAGAGGACATACATGGCTAGTATGTCTTCTTCGTGCCTTAAATGCAAATGTGAAGCCAGGAGCTGTAGCAGCTGTCTTTCAACACTGAGATACCAAGTGTGAGGCTGAAAATATGATTTTTAACAAGCTGAAGGCCTTGGGGACAAATGATCACAAGTGTTTGGAAAAAGATAGGGAGAGGAAAGTTATAACTTGTTATGATAGCAAAGCATTTGTTAACCCGTATTTGCTATCCATTGAAAACTACTCTGTACTTGCTATTTCATGGAAATTTAAGCCTAAAGTGTTAAGAGAAATCCTTGGAGTATTTTCATGTGTTTACCTTTTGCAACTTTTCAGAAGGATCCTACAGGAAGGACGAACTTAAATTAGTGCTCTTCAGCATGAAAACAGAGAGGAGAAAAAATACAGTTTTGTTTTAGCAATAGTTTGACTTTGGCTGTCACTCTAAATTGACAAAGAGTTCCATAATTTAGAGTTTTTCAGAGGTTAACAGTAGTACCTATACACATAAGGCTATTTTCAGAATTTCCTAAGTCTATGATAAGAATTCAGAAGTCAGTGGCTAAGACTTGAGACTCTCCAGGCCCAGTGATTATTAGGAAATTTGTTTTCTCTGTGTTTTTTTTATACCAGGAATTGACCTCAAGCAAATAGAACAGAAATTTGATATATTTTTGATGGAACTGTATTACAAAGCTGGAACTAACTTTAATTTTTTAAAAATAGTGCTGAGAATGGAACCAAAGACCTCATGTCTGCTAGGCATCCTACCACTGAGCTACACCCCAGCCCATGTGAAAATTTTTTAAACTACCAAACCATTCTTATCTCTATATCCCTAAGACAAATCAATATGAAATAGGCTGAAAAAACTGTGGAGCCCCTAGAAGGTTATCCATTTCAAAATCTACTATAGAAAAATGATTTTGCTGAGACAAACTAGGAAGGTCTGTATGTCTAACCAAGAACTTTATTGCATGCCAAGGAATCTGTGATTTTTCCAGGTAAAATATGATATGCATTTTGGACTGCTGATCACTTTCTGCTTCTCATTATCCCTTCTTTGAAATAAGAATTTGTATTGAAGTTACTCTTTTCTTTCTTTTTCATTGATATAGGAGGGAATGGTTTTTAGCAAAAGTGTATCTTTTAGCTAAATAGATGAGTGAAAACAGTTGTTATATTTGGATTTGATACAGCATATAGAAAATCACCCAAAGTTGGATGTGGTTATTGGATGATATGGTGGGTTGCCTTTGCTGAATGAAGAATGTGTATTCTGTTTAATGCAGGATTTGGGAAAAGGAGGTTTGTGCACACTGGGTTGACGATTGTGGTAGACACTGTTGGTTGGCTAATATATTGTCCATTCCTCACCTCTGCCACAAAAATTAGGAAAGATAAATGTTTGCTTTCCAAACATTTACTGCTATAGTGAGTATTTAATATGATTATAAATCATAAATCTTCTGGGGGACCTCATGGAAAGCTTTTATCTAGTACAAGGTTTAGAAAGCATTAAGGTC